AAACCTTGCTTCCCTTCACAGCAGCAGATTTCCTCTTCCTCAATGTCCTCTTTATCGTGCCACATGACTTTAAGTTTAGCGTGCTATGTGCAGGGATTTGACTAGTTGGTAAGCTCCATTCACGGCCCTATGATGCTTTTATGTGCAGGAAATTGCCAAGGGAGCAGAGAGAATTCCAGAAGGTTTATGAATATCTTCTCCGATGTCCGAGTGCTTCATGAAGAAACTCTAGGGTCAGGTAGTTCAAATGATTGCGAGACCACCCCATCTCAAAAATTCTCAACTGCAACCAACGTCTTTCTACGGTACCAATTGATGAGATCATTAGTTAGTCATTAGTCAAATATACGGTGTGAATTTGACTAGAAATTGGGAGTGACAAAGACACCCAACGGCTCGAAAAAGGCTCAGCATATCGCTTTTAACACTATAGCACTTCCATTTCATTGATAACTATTGACACACGCCTTATGTGTGTCATTAGGGCCGACTGGCGCTGTGAAAAACTACGCTCTCAGAGCACTGCCTTGACAAATTAAAAAGTATGAGTTTCTCTGGTAATGATGCTTATATCTCACTTTTCTTTCCTTCAGAGAGATAGTCGCTAGCAAATTCGCGAACACGAATTCGCTACTTGCGACTCCGCGAACTCGCTACTGCAAATCGCTGTATTGGCGAAGTCTGACACCGGGCATGCCGTTTCTTGGACTTTCACACTGGCGCGCTCCGCGCCCCTATTGGCCTATTCGCGTGGCGCGTGACCTCACCAATCGAAGCACATCTTATGGTGCGCTGGAAATACTGAGCCATATTCAGATCGCTTTCTCATGGAATCGCACCGCAAAAATAGTCAGTGAGGCATGGCTTCCCTCACTCTCAGCAAAACATGACGCAATGCCAAAAATAATTCTTCCTTGAGACTCACACTTGCCCAAGCATAGTAGCGTTGCCTTGCCGAGTATCGGTTTTTTGGATCGACATTTCCGTATTTCTTATACTGAAGCCACCATGACCTCAAGGAGTCTTCGATATGATGAGTGACATTGCTCCCATGCAGCCGAATGTCAAAACTGCAACAGCAAAATGATAGCGATCGATAAATCTACGAGATCGTACTCTACCAGAAATTAGAAAAAATGAAGGAGAACAGAAGGGCTTGTTCCTGGAAACTTCTTACATTCTTTCCCATGATGAATATGTCAGGTTGTGAGAGATAGAGACAACTGCAGAGTTTCCACGCAATAAGATTCTATCTTCGAAACAAACGTACGAAAACCACGTCCTATGGCCGCAGCGAAGTGCGGCCACAGAACGTGGGCGGAGGCAACGGAACCCGTGCAAAGAAAACGCCTTGGGGCGGCCACGTACATATCAGGCGACTTATTGAAGGTATCGCGTTGAAGCGTTCGAGTTTGAAAGATACACAGAAAACGGACGAGAATGGTGTAAAGGAAAAAGGCGCCGCTTACCTTACGCATAGCCCGGGGATCAAATACTGGGCCGTGCATAGTCGCCATCTAAGCCTTTTCATCTCTCATGGGTGGGATAATCTATACCAGACCTGTTTGGGAGGATTAAAACACTAACTTGTACCCGGCCGGCTTCCACCAGTCATGGAAGTGTAATACATTTCAGTTTGTGCAAAATTGCTTTGCTTTGAAGGAACAAGATATGCGCTTTCAAACGCAGGGTAAAATCCAGGTGGAACTGTCATCGGGATACCTTTACCGCCCACTTACAAGGGAAGGATACCAGGTCGAAGTGGCCATTTGTAACGAGACATACACCACTAGATGTGTTTTTGGACGCTGATCTCGAATCTGCTCTCCAAATCTGCGAAACGATTTTCTGAACGTAGTTATGAAGCCAGATAGTGCAGTGGTAGCGGCCTGGGCCGACGAACAAGAGGTCGTGGATCGACTCGAGTTCGAGTTCTTACTTTTGCTTTTCTTGGAAAACATTGTTTAAGGAACTTTTATCCATACTTAGCCATCAGCGATTGCCAATCATACAAGTGGAAAGAGCTAGCGAAGTGCTTCGAACACTGTGTGCGTCATCAGCAAATGACCGTCTCTGGCACCCGTAGCGCATGCGTCATGCACTTTCTTGCCAAATAGATGTGATTTTCGTGTTCAGCGCATCAAAGTACCCCTTGTGACAACTTTTGATCCAAATCCAAAGTTTTAACCTAAAGTCGAAAATGTGGGCACACACGACCGACAGGACACGGCAAATGACGCGCACAGTGTTCGAAGCTCTTTGCCAGCTCTTTCCTCTTGTAGGATAGGCAATCGCTGATGATTTAGCATGCATAAGAGTTTGAACAAAGTTCTTCAAGAAAAGCAGCTGAGAACTCGCCAAGAAGTCGATCTCACGACCTCTTGCTCGTCGGCCCGGGCCGCTGCCACTGCACTATCGCGCTTCATAACTACGTCCAGAGAATCGTTTCGCAGATTTGGAGAACAGATTCGAGATCAGCGCCAAAAAACACATCTAGTGGTATATAACTCGTTACAAATGGCCACTTCGACCTGGTATCCTTCCCTTGTTAGAAACTTACCCCGGGTTTTTATCGAGATTCGTCCATGACCGGGGATTTGGCCAGAAGTGGACTTCGGGCTTTTAAGTTCTATAGAAAAAAATCGCATGCCAATTTATGCTAGAACAAAACACCTGGCGGACCGCGACGAAAGGGCCGGCAGAAGGCGCCAGAACACCTCGGATCACCAAAGTCGCTGGAAACTTGTCGTCAGGGGCAACTTGTCCTTTCAGAAAATGAATATCACTCAGTTTCTGACTAGTGAGCCTGCAGCCTGCGCTATGGGTGCCGCAGCCAAACTGATGTGATAGCGTCGGCACCTGTGGCACGAGCGAGAGGGTTCTCGCGCTAAACTAATGTCGCCTTCGTGTTCTACGGGTTTAAATACCTCAGGAGACGATTTTTCCAACCAAATCCTTAGCCCCGGACAAGTTGCCATTTAAATGCCGAACAGGCTTTGAGGTAACAAGTAAAGGGCAGCAGAGGGTAAATGGTACTCAAAGGATTCCTTTACGCAGAAAAATCACCGGCATTCCTCACAACACAAATATGTACATATGTCAGTTGTTATCACTAGGGACAACATACTTTCACGAACAAAGATAGTTCCTGAAAAGAAACAATCTAACGAAAATTACACTCCATGGACGGTCGAAGGTAGGTCGCGCGGAGCTAAGGGCTACGCATGGGAAGAGGTGCGCCTTGAGGCGACCACGAATTGGCGGAGGAAGAAGGTGAGATGTATGCATAATCAAAAGGCCAGAAAACTTATCTAGTGACGGGACGCCAAGACCTATTGGACAGATTCCCCTCCAGCATTTGCGTCAGATGTCGTCGCAGGCAGCAATTGAAACGCGTAGAACCCTTCAGTTTTGTCGATTGTTTATCAAACCAATGCAAAAATTTTTTGCTCTCTTCTAGTGAACGATAAAGCTCCCAAGCACAGTGAACTCATGAGTGAGAAAGAAACCACAATTTTTCGGGAGGATTTTTTTAATCCAGCACCGGGAGCAGCTCTACAATATTTAACTGTGATTATAATAACAACTATGACTTCTGCAAACTGATGAACGAAGAACTTCAAAAGCGCGAGCATGAGCTCAGCACATTACATGCTTTTGAAAGTTACTCACTGTTTGACTAACTGTGGACCGGAAAATTTGCTTGCATTGGATAACATATTATTAGAGCAGGTTTGAATGCGCTGATGAGCCAATAGCTCCAAATCGCAATCCCATCTCTGAAAAATGAACCCTGATTAGAGAACAATTTACAAGTTACAGGTACATAACCAATTGCAAAGTAACTTACTAAGAAGTAGATATTACGACCAGTGCCCATCTTTCCGTGCTTGTTTGGCTGCTGTCCCAACGCAACTTTACTTCTCAGTCTATTGTGCGTAAACAGAACATACTTCTTATGTTGTAACGACATCATTGAGCCCTGGCAGAAGAACTCAGCTGAAATTCGCAAGATTGGTAAAAAGCCAAGGAGCAAAAAAGTTTATCATACAAAGCATAAACATCTAAGCGATGGTACTGAAGGAAAAATTCCATCATACAATAAGTATAAACATCTAAGGACGATGTCAGGCTTTGCGAATCAAGCGATTTGCTGCTGTCCGTGGTCGCAATACGGCCAGCCAATCTAGCGATTCGGTGGCCGCGAACCCTAGCGAATCGCTTGAATCGCAAAGTCAAACATCGGTCTGAGCGATGGTACTGAATAACACGTAAATAATACGACAGGCACTAAACATCCACTGAAAGCGTCAAAATATTGGAATTCGAATCCGAACCATACAATGAATTTGAAATGTTAATCCTCTGATGTTTGAGGTTTTGCTCCAAAAAATTAGAATGAAAAAGTATTGAGATGATATCATGAAAAGAAAATGAAACTATGTTTCTTGACAGTGTCCTTTTAAGAATCGACTGCAGAGAGTAGCGTTTGGGGAAAGGCACAACAACGATAAGGCGTTCTGTCGCGGATAAATCATTAGCGTCACGTCAGTTTAAAAAAACAGTCCCATAGAGGGACAAAAATGATGACCAATCAGGGTGAAAATCGGTCGAGGATTCGTCGACGATTCGTCGAGGATTTTCGCCTCTCTCCGCGCGGACATTCACACTCGCCATGCGCGAGCCGTCTGTGCTCTCCGCGCGTACATTCACTCTCGGCACTACTCTCACGCAGTACAGAGCTATGGTCGAGGATTCCTCGACCGTTATTCACCCTGCAACCAATTTGTTGCCCCGTCTGCCTTTGAAGATCCACGATTGAATACGATGCTTCCATTTTTGGACGCCATAATCTTATGGCGTCCAAAAATGGAAGCATCTGTAGTGATCCATCCACTGCTGATAAAGGAAAACCAAAAATCGTCGAAATACTTGAAATCATATTGCGCGTCGATCACGTGGGCGGAGTTTGCGCGCTACCTCCACGCGAAGCTGAATGGTTGCCCCGCCGTTAGCTCGTGAAATGGACTCCGATGTGTTTGTGCTTTTGCTCTTTTCAGAAGTATAGCTGGGAAGACTTTCAACACATCCTGAAAAGAGCAAAACTGCGGCCTTGCATTGAAGTCAATCCCACGACAGTGCAGTGAGGCACTGTCACCACCTTAGCAGGATCACCATTTACCTGCGCTTCCTGCTCCATAATTTGTTTCGGGGAATCTTTTCGCAGATAACAAACGCAGGGTTAGCTAGCTCCGGGGATTGACGAAATAATAAGGTTCGTCTGAGGAAGGAGCG